CACCGTGGCTATCTTGGAGGATTTGTCTAGCAACGGAACATATGTCAATGAAGCCAACGTGGGTCGCAACAAGCGCAGAGAGCTCCAGGAGCAGGACGAGATCGCGGTGCTCGACAAGGCTCGTTTCATCTTCAGATACCCCAAGAGCCGGCAGACGAGCGCTTTTCTTCAGCAGTACACGCTACTGGAGAAGCTTGGCAAGGGCCACTTCGCCGAGGTCTTCCTTTGTGTCGAGAAATCTACTGGCCAAAGGTACGCCGTCAAGATCTTCACAAAGACTGCCGGCATGGAGGAGAGATCGAAACAGGAGGGTCTGCAACAGGAGATTGCCGTTCTCATGGGCGTTAGTCACCCCAACGTTCTATGCTTGAAAGACACGTTTAACGAACGTAATGCGGTGTACCTGGTCCTCGAGCTGGCTCCGGAAGGCGAACTGTTCAACTTCATCGTCATGAAGCAAAAGCTTACCGAGGATGAGTCGCGCAAACTCTTTACGCAATTGTTCCAGGGCATCAAGTACCTGGTAAGTTTTGTTACGACATTTGATGTCCTCCGCCCGCTAACTTTGAGAAGCATGATCGCAACATTGTCCACAGGGACATTAAGCCAGAGAACATTCTGATGGTCGACAGAGACTTGCACGTGAAGCTGGCTGATTTCGGTTTGGCTAAAATTATTGGTGAAGAGTCATTCACGACGACGCTGTGCGGAACACCCAGCTATGTGGCGCCTGAAATCTTGGCCGAGGGTAGGCACCGGAAGTACACCAAGGCTGTCGACATTTGGTCACTCGGAGTTGTCCTTTACATCTGCCTGTGCGGCTTCCCGCCGTTTTCAGACGAACTGTATTCCAAGGACTTCCCGTTCACGCTGTCGCAACAGATCAAGAGCGGCCGGTTCGATTACCCTTCGCCATACTGGGACTCAGTAGGCGACCCTGCTCGTAGGTGACCCAGAAGCGCTACAAAACGATGCGTCATGACTAACATTATGATAGTGGACCTTATCGACTCAATGCTGGTAGTTGATCCCGAGCGTCGTTTTACAGTTGACCAATGCCTCAACCACCCCTGGATGACGCAGAAGCAACCAGGAGTCAACGACAGCACCGACGGCTTGGTGGGCGGCATACAGGGCTTAGAAGTCCACCGCCGCGGTGTCGTCAGAGAGCGGACACTACTCAGCTCAATGAACTCGGTAGCAGTTGCGGAAAGATCCCCTGGCCCTAAGCAGAAACCAGTCAAGATCTATTCCAAGAACACGACGAAGACGATCATGACACCGAAGGAGGCCGACCCTGCGTCACAAAGAAACGTTGACGAATTCGTGGAGATGGGCGGCAAGGGAGATCAGCCTCTGTTTGGCGATGACGGCGATAGCATCTATTCAAAGGCCGACATTTCTACAGAAGCACAGAATGGTAGCAAGGAGGAATAATGGGTTATAATAACTTTGGTGAATTGTTAGGAGCATGGTTAGGGTATGGGACGCGCGAGTCATAGATACAGTCGGCGAAGGTCATGGATTTGTTTGTTTCTTGACCATCCGAGCCATGGAGACCATTTCTGTGTTGACTGTAGGGCCGGTGATGACATCCCCTCAGTGAACAGGGGGTGTATTTATTTTTGTCCTGTTTAGGTGTTCGAGAGGCTGGATGGGAACGGCAAAAGTTGGCGTCCTGACATATCTGACATTACTTGGAGACAATGTAAACCTTTTCACGAATGGAAAGGCTTTCGGCATGCCACACACATTGGATGAGAGTATGTGTTGCTAAACCTCAGATTCTGTCTCCGAATATGCAGTGTCCTAGGCATTCGGGTTGTTTCCTACACCGGCACCGTTTCGACAAGTAGGGCGGAAACGACTGCCGCTGCCATACCGGCTCCGAGCGGAAACCGGAGCCTCCACTGTCGTTATGGGGCAGCCCGAGGCGGGGCCGTGTCAACAGAGGAACTAAAAGCGTTTCGACATCGTGATCTGGAAATTTGGTGCAAGATTTCACTTCTGAGAACACGACTAGGGCCATTTTCACTTGTCTATGAAGTAAAGCTTTGAGTAACAAGCTTTCAAGTACAGTTCTGGTGAATACAGAGCCTCATCTATCAAATCCCAGGTCACAGTGGTACCCCGCCACGGCGTGGGGCACCATGGCCTGGCTTCACCGCCTTCGCCTAGGTAAGCCCACAAGTCGGTCGGGTGGCAGAAAACAGCGAAAATTGCCCTCCTCCACCACACCCCTCCATCGAACCGCAGGTCGACACGGGCTTCGCAAGAGACATACCGCACGACAGAGCGACCCCCTGTCTCCGTCGTCCGCAAACCACACGCCCCTCTACACACTTTCGCATTCTCTTTTTTTCCGGGGTCCCTCTCTTACTCCTCCTCCCAGCCAAATTTGCCAACACCTCCGCAATCAACCGCATCCCACCCCCCTCTCAACCCGAAGGCCCGACAACCCTCGTCAGATACCGCGAAAAACCAGCAATCATGGCGGCGGGAGCGAAGCAACAGGCGCAGCCTCAGCTGCTCTTCGTCGACGGCTCCTTCCAGGAGCTCGCCCGCGAGATGGCCGACTACCTTCACATCGCCGACGAGGTGAAGCCCCTCGTCGAGAACGAGGCCAAGAAGGAGGAGGTCCTGTCCAAGCTGGTGCGCTCGTCGACGGCCCTGACGTCGGTGGCCGAGAAGGAGTTCACCGCCGCGTCCAACCTCATGGTCCACCTCGTCCTCCAGTCCGAGGACCCCAAGAAGCACCTCCCGACCCTCTGCCAGGCCTTCTCCAAGCCCATCGCCTCCAGCCCCGTCAACGGCGTCGGTCTGAGCCTCAACGCCCTGAGCACCATCTTCAACCTCATCGCCCCCGAGAACCCGATACGCTACAACGTCTTCATGGCCATCCTGCGCTTCCTCAAGGCCAACGCCATGTTCGACACCATCCAGCCCTACCTGAAGCAGCTCCCCGACTGGTTCGCGGACTGGAAGACCAGCGACGAGTTCCAGAGACAGATGTACGAGGAGATTGCTGAGGTCGCCAAGGAGGCCGGCAAGGAAGAGTGAGTCGTCCCTTTTTTCGTTGGAAGAGTTGGAAAGACAAAGCATCGGAGACTGATACCCAGACAGGGAGAGCTACGAATACATTCTCAAGGCCCTGCGCACCTTTGACGCAGACGACAAGGACGATGTCGGTTCCGAGGACGCCCAGCGCCTGTCCCTCCGCGCGGTCCGCGACGCCCTGCTTTCCAACACACACTTCCTCTTCACCGACATCCGCAGCATACCCACCGTGCAGAACCTGTCCGAGACGCACCCCGTCTACTCCCAGCTTCTCGACATCGTCGCCGAGCAGGACCTCGAGGACTACAACGACTTCAACGACGAGCACCAGGGCTGGCTCGAGAAGGAGAAGCTCGACCACGACCGCCTCCACCGCAAGATGCGTCTCCTCACCTTCGCCTCCCTCGCCGCCCAGACCACCTCCCGCCGCATCGAGTACTCCGCCGTCGCGAAGGCTCTCCAGGTCCCCGCCGAGGACGTCGAGATGTGGGCCATTGACGTGATCCGCGCCGGCCTCGTCGAGGGCAAGCTCTCCCAGCAGGACCAGGTCTTCCTCGTCCACAAGGTCACCTACCGCGTCTTCGGCACCAGGCAATGGCAGGAGCTCGCCACCCGCCTGGACAGCTGGAAGGGCACCCTGTCGAACCTGCACGACGTCATCCGCAAGGAGCAGGCCAACGCCAAGGCCCAGAAGGAGCGCGAGGCGCAGGAGGCGGAGCGCAAGCTGAACGCCGACAAGGAGGGCGGCAGCGGTGGTCGTCAGCAGAGGGGCGGCCAGCGCCGTGACGGACAGCAGCGTGAGCCCAGAGAGCCTCGCGAGCCTCGCGAGCCTAGGGAGCCCCGTGAGCCCAAGGAGAGGACGGACAACGACGACTAAGAGAAGGCCACCTATTGAGCCCGGTGATTTGTCGAGAGATCGTCTACGCGGAAATTTCATGAATGTGGTTCACCTGTTGTCTTCTTCGCTCCGTTTTAACCACTTTGGCCAACTCTTTCACATAGCGTCATGGTATGGGTGGGAAGGGAAGGGTTGGCGATCAGGTTAAAAAGAAACGAGAGCGGAAATTTCCATGGGACAAATGGGGGAAACCTTTGAACGTGTGTCTTTTTATGTAATTACGGCGAGGAGGGGAAAAGGAAACGGGACGTGTGTGGATGGAGGAGAGAACCCGAACCAAACCATCGAGTTATAGAGCTGATGAAGAGCTGAGAGAAAGGGAGAAAAGTGAGGGGTCCTCTGGGTCTCTTTTCTTTTCTACCTACTTTTGATTTTTTTCGTTTTAGAGAAAAGTTTGGTCAAACCGGGAGAGGGAGGTTCGTAGGTCGACAGCGGCGTCTCAACGAATCAGCGTAACAGGATCATGATACAGACTCTTTCCGAACGATTGCCGTGCGCTCATGCCGTGGTGCGTAATGTGAGCGAACGATATTGCCGTCGTCAAGAGAAGATTCATCCCCACCAGTCACGGCTCAAGGTGCCTCTATACTGTATTCTCATGGCTTGCTTTTTCATTTCGTAGAATGTGAGAAAGTTAGTGTACAACTGTGAAGACGCAAACCGATGCCTTGCGTCGAAATTCTTTTCAATGGCGCGCTCTCTCTTTGAATGGGGCATGTGTACGCCCCTCTTGCCCCCCAAACTTTTGTCTATCTTTTGCTTTCTCATAAGCGGCTCAATTTTGCAGAAAATGGGTCCGCGAGTGGTTCTCGTGGCGGTTCTGCCGAAGCCCGGCCTTCTTGCAGCCACGGCTTCCTCTTCGCTGATGGGCAAGACTTCTTGCCCTAGCAGCAAAGGATGTCCTCCAACACGGTCGGCAAATGGGTCTAGACGTATTGGCTTGGCTTCCAGCGGTGGGAGCAGTGCCGCCATATACAACGGAGAACGGCTCGGCCCAGTGGCGCGGGGCCAAGGCCTCTTGGATCCATTCGTCTTTTCAAGGTTTCTAATCCTGTAGACAGCTTTTCGAGATGTTTGTGAGCGAGGCCAATCGATGGTTCCCTGAAGGACAACATACCCAAGGTAGTCCTCCTTGATACTGCCAATGGCCCACATCTCACCGACTTCCGTTCTCGTACCAATAACCTTGACGCGCACATGCGTGCCAGGCTCAATGATGGTGTCCTCATTGTTGGTGAACTGTGGCGGCGTGGCATTGGGATCCCACTTGATCTCAGAGGGAATCAGCTAGAATAGAGAGGCTCGCAGTTAGTGATTTTGAGATCCTGCCTGGCTGGCGCGGAAGCGGGGACGTACATGAGCCGACACGAAGAGGCGCAAGGGTCCTGCCTGGGCGAAGAAGCCCTGGTGGTTGACCGAGTAAACCACGGCGTCAACCTGGGGGTCATGTCAGAATCCGCTTCCCGACAGAGCCAGGCAGATTTGTAGCATTTACCGTCTCGCCCTTGAAGGGCCTCCACACGACCGCGCGATAGCCCACGGTGAACTCGGCCAGACCGCTGCCCGGAAGAATGCGACCCTCGGAGATATCGAAGGTGTCCATGATGGAAATGATGTAGTAGCTGCCGGCGCAGGTTCCCTCGACGTCCTTCAGCAGCTTGCTCGTGACCAGCTCGTGCATGTTGCGCCCAAAGTACGAAGGGTGCAGGGTGACCCTGCGCTCCATATTGTAAAGGAAAAACATTTTCGCAAGAGGTACGGCGTGCTTGCGGGAGGTAGGATCGCTTGCTAACTTCAATCGGCTCGTCGTCGCCCAAATTTGGTCGAGCAAGTCAGGTGTATATCGGACGCAATCGAGGAGGGCACGGTGGGAGAAGTTCGCGCGGAAGGTCTAATTGGACGACGCGATCGACTTGAAAAAGAAGGTGGCCTAGATGCGGAGTTCCAAAGGTGCTTCTTAGAGCTGTGTGGCCTTCAAAACAGCAGGAGCGAGCGATCGCGTGTGACGTCGCTGGCACGCTGGAAGTCTCGTGAGAGCAAGCGCAATATTAGAGAACGAAAGAGAACCGCAAATTGTCAGGAAACTTTTGATGGAAGGTGCCACTGCGCGCCGTTGGAGGGAGGTGATGCGCCGTCGTCGGTGACTCGACGGTTGAAGAGAGAAAGGTTGCACAAGACGAGGCTGAAGACGATGGGTTGAGTTGAGGTGCAGCTACCAAATGTGGCTCGTTAATTTTCTGGCCTTGCCTAGCCACATCCAGCGCAGAGAGTCAAGCCACACACGTATGTCTGTGGCTCATGCCAGGACTGCATGTGCCACGGTTATACCAGCCACACTTTGGCATGTCACACTTAACGCGCCTGCGCTTACGCGACATGCTCGTGGCGCCCCACTCTCCTACCGCGTACGATGCCGTACCTCCCTTACTCCATGGACAAGAGTCGGGATGATGGAAAGTCTGCATGGAGTGCGAGGCCCGATTTCAGGGCCGTATGCACGATAGCAAGATTGGTGAGATGACAGTGTACGGGCCGCGAGAGGCGAAGGAATGCGACAGGGTGGCGCCACGGACGGCAGAAACCGCAACCCTAAAGTCAGTCGTCTGGTGCCGTCCAGACTAAACTTGAGTGGTGATGAGATGAGGGCTGGTCGGCTTCTTATGCGGTCAAGGTGCCTCGGGTCAATTGCCTTAGTGTCTGTGTCTGGGCCTGTGTCTGCTCGGCCAATTTCTACACTCCTCCAAAAACCGAATCACGTCGTTGAATCTGGGCAGCCGGTCGAAAGCCTCTCCAGCCCCCCCCCCCCCCAACGCGCTCAAACGACAAATCCACGGCATCAGATTGGGCGAGACAGGTCGTATGTTCTCTGCATGCACGTTTAGCGGTTTTTAGTGGACTCGATCACCCAAATCTCCAGTCAGGAGCCGCTCCTATCGCCCTTGTCACCTGCTAGTCTTGGGCTCCGGGGTCCCTCGACCTGCCTTTTGGGCTCCTCGAAGTTAGATCCCAGCGGTCCTTCCCCTACAACCTCCCCGAACCGAAGCAAAAACGCGCCCAGCGGCCGGCCCCACGGGCGTCCACTTCCACCGTACGGCGCACTCACCCTCCAGGCGTGCTGTGCGCGAGTGGGACGCATATGAACACCATTGCAACCCTGTCCTGTCCAGTCCGGAACACCGCAGCATTCCTTCATTTTCCATCCTACTCTACGGCCTTGACATCGCCAACCCGACCTGTCGCAACATACAGCACTCCCATTGTTGGAAACTAAGGTAGAGATCGACACTGTCTAGACTCTGGGTCGCACCACCCTTCGCCCGTCTAGTCTGCTCGCACTCCCGACCATCCCTTCTGCTGCGGCTGAGCCTCGACCCTGCTTGCAGCCTCGTTCAGGTCCTGCAGCAATCCTCGGCTTCCATCACCTGCCTCGCTTTGGCTTAGATCTCAACATCATCCAATCTCCAAAACCGCAAACATGTCTCTTGACTTGGAAAAACACTTGACCTTTGTGAGTTTACAGCTTAGCCTCTGAAGTCTCGTTGTCCGTTCACTGCTAATTTCGTCAAAAAAAAAAGTATGGCGCATACCACCATAACACTGTCAATATTGGCATTCACATGGCATGCGTGCCCATGATCCTTTTCTCGGGATTTTGTCTCGTAAGTGACTAATGCATTGACACTCGGGTCTTTGCAGTTCAGCTTATTCATATTTCTTAGGCCACCAACACAGGAACTCTCATTCCTCTCCCAAGTTGGCTCACAGTCCCCAATCTAGATCTTAACCTTGGAACACTTGCAGCGTTGACCTGGGGTGGACTGTATGTGCTCCTCGAGCCTGTCGCCGGCACCCTGCTGGCAGCCATCTGCTTAGGCGCCACTGCAGCCGGCAACTCTTTCAGGCTCGAGAATCCCGACCTGACCAACAAGGTCGCCATCGGCGTCCACGTTGTTTGCTGGATCTTCCAGTTCATCGGACACGGCGCCTTTGAGGGTCGTGCCCCTGCTTTGCTGGATAATCTGATCCAGGCCGTCTTCCTGGCCCCTCTGTTCGTCTGGCTCGAGTTTCTCTTCAAGCTGGGCTACCGCGCGGAGCTGAAGGCACGCGTCGACAAGGCCGTCCAGAAGGAGATTGCCAAGTTCAAGGCCTCTAAGGCCAATGGAGAGGCCAAGAACGGCAAGGCCCAATAGTCTACACGCAAGCCAGCCAGCACAACCTCCACGATGGCAATGCGAGTATTCCGCAATTCTTTGAAAAATCGCACTGTAGGCGCCGGCCCGACGTCAAGTGCCGCACTCACCTGTCAACAGGTATCAGCAAACATAGGGCAACGAGGTTACAAGGGGAAGCAGTGGTTGAACAGAGAAATCAACGGGCACAGGACTCGCCGCATGGAAGCATTCGGGCAGGCGCCATCACTTCACAGGACGGAGTACTTTCATCAGATACCAATTTCAGCTCACGCGTATACAGATTGTCAGTCATTGGATCTGTATCTTGGTCGAGTCATGACACTTGCCAACGAGAGTTTGCACGGGACCCTTGCGCGTTGCTTGTTTTCGGTTATTGTTCTATTTGGGCAGGGAAAGGAGGCTCTATATGTCTATGTCAATTGCAGCAAAAATGCATGAAACGAGTACATAGTTCAACAGGACGAAGCATTCACTCACCAAATTGTCTTCCCAGACCGTCATCGTACCCAGCGAGGGTGAGCTAAGGCATCCCACGTTCCACCGCCAGAGCATCTTGACAAACCATCGATTCGGACTCCGAGATGACGGAGTTACGGGCATTCGGGCGAGTGGGTGAGTTGAGAATTCTCTTGAGATCATGAAACTGGGCCATTTTTTTCGGACTCTTTCCTGCGAGCTTTTGGCTGTGCGTCTTGCGAAGCGACCCGAAGGACCTCAGGGGGTTGGGCCTCTAGCCCCGCCGACCACGGCGAGGCCGAATCGGCTCGTCGTCAAGCGGTGACATTGGCGACATTGGCGACATTGGAATCGATGGAACATAGTCATCCGAAGAACGAGAACGAGGGGGGAGTCGAAGAGGATCAGGTCTCGCCCTGTTTGGTCTCGAGGGAGCTGGTCTGCTCGGCGTCAAGTCTCTCGATGCGTACCTAGATTTGTAGCTTCCATGCGGGTCGATGCCATGTTCGCTCTGCTGTTGCTCGTCCCGTCGGTACTGGCCATACCCATACCGATCCACGTCGGGTCGTTTCACGCTCACGGATTCATCATCGGGGTCATACTCATCGTCCGCAGCCGGCGGCATGACTTGCAAAGGGCTAAGGGCGCCTGGCCGAAGTGCACCATACGACGGTTCCTGGCTCATTGCCCGGTTACCCAGCGGAACACTGACGACAGACGGCATCTGCATGGGCGGGTGGTCGAGGTAAGCGGTCGCATTTCGCCGGGCGATCTGCCCGGCAATGCGGTTGTCCCGGTATGCGGCGCGCTCCGCCTCCTTCTTCTTGTCCGCCGCCTCCTTGCGCAGGCGCGAGGCGCGCAGGCCCTCGGGCCCCAGCTGTGATTTGAAGCGGTTATGGGTGGTACGGCTGTGCGGAAGAACCCCGGACTCGTCGGCGGCCTGGCAGTCGGGACAGCTGTGGGGGACGTTGAAGTGCTTGTCTGCGCGGATCTGGTCGCATTGCTCGCCGGGACGGGCGCCGCAGAGGGTTGTCATCACGGCGTGGCAGCTCCAGGGCGCGTCTTTGGGGGCCTCCCGGCAGGTGAAGCGTTTCTTGATGCTGTGGGAGCACGAATATGACATGATTCCGTAGCACATCGTGGCGGTTGTTGTTGTTCTTTCGTAGCTGTTGGTATTGGTCGCGATGGGTTCTGCGATCGTGGTAGTCTAAGGTGTCTCTCGTTTCTTGCGAGTTTCACTGGGTTGCGGTGCTCTTGATGTCGGTATTTGCGTTGTATGATAAATATGTCTCTGAAGAAAACAAGAAAATCGCTGACTGTCGCTGCTGAGGTCTTTTCTATTTATCAACATCATCTTCTCTAATCTTTCAGGGACTGGTGCTTTCCAGACAAAGGGAGATATGAGGAAACACAACGGCTTGTTATCAGACAACATATTTCAAACTTGCTGCCTTGTATTATATCTTCATGATTTTCTTTGGCAAGCGTTCATCTTCTCTTTTGTTTCATGTCATTCAAGGTATCCTTGTAGGTAGTTGAAGAGTGTGAGAGAATTCGAAACATTGAAATTTGGTCCTTTGAGGTGAAAGAATTGCCTTGTTGATGGCCAACAATGAACACAGGTCTCGTGAGGGTGTTGTTTCTTTGTATGGGATCCAGATGCTACTATTGATGCGAGAAGATTCTGTCTCTACTGCAATCTATGGATCGTTATCTACTAACCCGTCTGAATCCAGGTTCGCTAACATAAATATTCTCCTTGATTTATTGAATACTCGGACTATTCAATCTTATACCACAGTCATATATTAGCCTACAACATGCACCTAAACTTCAGGCTTGGTATATATGATGAATTGCTCGCAGGCATGAGATTTCAAGCGCTCTGTATTTTCATTTTGATATTCACTCCATGGACATAGCGTCGTGGGTTGCTATTTTGCATAGAATGTGAGCGCATTTCTTCACCTGGGGACTTTCTACACTTTACTGATCTTTTTCAAAGTTGCCATGAATACAAACTTGCCATTCATACGACCCAACAAACCTTTTATCAGCTACTTAAATCGCATTCATTCTGCCTTCAAAAAGATGTAAAACCTTCTAGATCCCTGAAAGCTTAAGGGACATAGATGCTGCACATGTCGTGATTAGCAGTCACTCATAACCACAGCCTATGGATTCTGAGACCGAAGTATAGATGTTTACAGAATCAGCAAGCCAGCTCCAGTCGAGTGCCATGTATTTGAGATGAACACCCGCCGACCTTCCGAGCCTTCTAAAGCATTCAGTGAAGCCAACACATAATCTCGCCTGTTCGCCTAATAGCAAGACCGTAGACTTGTAGACTAACCCTGAACGAAGACTTGCTCGTGCAAAGCATATTCTAGTCTGTCATCATGCGAGTTTGGTAATGGGGATGAGCCGTAATGAATAAGCTTAGTATCGCTTCGAATGATCCCTCATGACAGAGAGGTAAGGTGTATGTGCCCGTGTGATAGGAAACATGATTTTTGTTGCAATATCATACATCAACAACAGCAACAAGCTCGCGATATCCCAGACATTGGCGGGAGCTTCAAGTTTTGAGGCCAGGTCTCCGTGTGCTTTCAGTACCTGCTCCTCATCACTGTCTTCGCTTACCTTTCCTCGTCTCCTCAGTTTGGGTTGATCATCACACCTCCATCGAGATTTCCAACACGTTCAGCACGACATTTCGCAGATCCTCGTACGATCATGATGTCGCAAATTCAAAGGCTTATTGATTGCAATCTCTTTTGTGATCATGCCCAAGGGAGATCGTCTGGCGTCCGGAATGTTGACATTGAGAAGACTGAACAAAGGGCATCCGACGCAGGTAACGTAGTGTTCATCTCCGAAGAGATGGATGCCCCCCTGTCTCGCACCGAGAACATCAAAGTCAAACCTCGCAACTTTGACAAGACAGACGAAAAATACAAGCACGCCATTGAATTCCGGGAGGGAGATCCCTCCGGCCGAAACCCCAGGGCTCGGCAACCGACCCATCCCGAAAGACGGCCTGATTAGGAAGTCCTTTAGGATGAGGTGGTTTCTCCTCCGCTTCGGACTTGAGTGTCGTCCATCATTGTTCACGCACCAATGATCAGCTCATGTTTTCCGCCCTCAATCACCGACTTTGCTTGGCTCGAGTAAGGAATGGAGTTTCCTTGCCCCGGAATGACGATGGATGATGGCGAAGGCTTGTTCGAGAGGGTTGTCTTCGCCAGTCTCTTTGGGGGTCCCATCGAGACATTCGACTTGAGGTTGGAGAAAGCTGCCCGCCTGCCGCGAACAGGACATTCTCAGGAGGCGGACCCGCCCACCTCCGCGCTCGAAGGGGCGGACTGTCGCATAGCGCGCAGAGTGTCTTGTCAAGGGAGTGTACCGCGAGCACCGGAGCGATCAAAGACGGGGCCCACGTGCAGCGGAGACACGAGGGATTTCGGAATCAACAGTCTGGCCACTCTGGGCGCGAGGTACGGCACGAGAAGTAATAGCTGGACACACGGTAACTGGATGAGTTGGCTAGGCTGTGCGGGACGGAGCCAAGACTGGCCTGACCAAGTGCAGCGGCGCCACGGAGAAGACAGAAGAAATCCCGCTTACACTGGGCATTCTTGGACGTGGCTACCACGAGAACCGTGCTGTCTCTGTTTCTCGTCACGTAATCCCGTCGAAGGAAGGCCTATGAGAGAACTCTCGAACCCGTAGCCGTGGAAATTCTCTGGAGGCCTGGACTCGGCCCCGAAAGCCTTCACGAAATGTGGCAGTCTTCGCCTGTACGGGTGGAGGCTCAGACTTTCCCTACACATTACTTGGCACTTCTGGCTCGGCCGTGATGATGTGCGGACATGGACGGGACCGGTTTGACCTGAAAGACTCAAAAGTGTTTCACACAACAGGCAGCCAGCCGGCTGACGCCCTTCGCCCGGGAGCAACTTCCAACTTCAAGGTATTGCTCACGCCCTCGATCAAGAGAAAGATGCAACATGACGAGCCTTCCTGACGCAGCATTTGCAGCCTGGCCACGAAGTAAGGGCAAAATATCCTCTCGGCATGTCTTTTGGTTCTGAGAACCCTTCTGACTCGGGGTGACAGAAACGGGAATGACGTTGGAGTCCGGGGGCGGACGCTTGTTGGTGGACCGGCGGCAGGCTGAAGTTGTTGAGTCCACCTACGTATGGGCCAAAAAGTATCTCTCCCCATCACCTTTGTCTGCGGCGCTTCGGCATGACGTGCGGCTAAGCCATGGAGATGCCATTTCATTCCTCTCACGATGCCTCTCACTGGATCAGTTGGTGTTGTGGAAGTGAAACTTGATCTCGGATTTCCCAGATCTTGGCGGGAAAAGTTCGCACTCGGCTTGCAACGGAACATGTTGATTCAGCCGCCAACAGCAGTCAGAATCCCTCGTTCACGTCCCTGGGCTTAGATGCAGTCCAGATCTGGACTGGTGCTAACAAAGGCTGCTGCTGCCTTGGCCATCACAAAAAAACGAACATCCACATTGCTTGTGAACTGCCCAAGGCGGTCAAGTTTCTCAGCCTCAGAGGATCCCATTCCGGTCACGTTGCGCACAATGTCTTGCGTTTTTTTACGATGGCGACATATCCCGCTAGAGAGATGAAATGCTCCTCAACATATCCCGCGGTTAAGTTGGCCGGACGGGAGGGAAATATGTGCGACAGCGCCGGCCCGCGGCCGTCTGTTGCCAAGGCAGAATTCTTGGGAACGTCCATATGACCCGGGCACGCATTGTGATTCGATAGGTTCTGGCGGAGACTTGCGATCCCTCAGAAAGCTGTCAACTGTCACGTTTTCCCTTCAGCTCAAGCCGCTTATGCTTGGGCGGCTCAGACGGGTAAAGGTGGGATGCAAGCTCCCGTCAGGGAGAACGGGAAAGGAGGTACGTGGAGGCTCAGAGGCTGGCCGGGCTGAGACAAAATAGACTTATTGTTTTCCTCACTTCATACGTAATCTTTTCCTCCTCTGTCAGAACTCTCTTGATGGCATCAGGACGAAAGCAGATACTGGGGCCAAGAGTCCAAAAGAGAGAAGAGGGGAAACTTAGCAAGAGGCTCAACAGAAAAAAGCCTCGTTGTCAGGAAGAAACACTCTCCAGGAAAAGCAGGTTTGAAGGATCATCTTTGGGTGATCTTTGGCAGCTTTGTCCACGATGCCGGATGCCGCAGGCATTACACCACAACATCACATCACCCAAAAGCTGTGGTATGCAGTTCTACCGGTGATCGGCGGCGGGAGCAACGGTGGAGTCGGAATGGGCTGACTCTGATCACGAAATATCTCCCCGCAAACGTCACGACAGCTTCGGCCGAGATGTTCGGTCCTGTCTCAGTGAGGGGCATGGGTGGATATGGAAGTGCGCGCTTGCCCACAGAGAGTGGAGGCTGGGCGGAAATTATGAGCCCCGTGGCTCCCATTCCTGTTCCCGTTCGCAGAGATGCGGTCGGCCAATGAGCTGTCCAAGAGACAAGATATTGCGTCCCTCCACCGCGTAGATGGTGTCTCACTTTTGAGTTATCCATCAGAGACAACGGGCGGCCATCAACACCGAACGTCCATTGGTCGAGTTTCACGGAAGGAGCTGTCAAAGGCGCATGGGCTGAGACTCCCGCCCTCCCTAGACCTTCTTGGCTACAGCCTAGCCCCAGCTTCAGGGTCGCGAGGGTCCACCGGCCGGCAACTTGGCCCGATGTTGAGGGTGAGGATGACTTCGCGTGGAGTTGCGAGTGTGTGTTGTGATGTACCTCATTCGGAAATGCGTCTGAGGCTTCACGAGTCTTACACGCTGTGCGGCTGGATGTGCGTGAAGGCCACGTTCAGAATTCTTTGCTCCCTTGGCGTCGAGGGGGCGAGATGAGGGACAGGACGACGAAGACGGAAAGCCAAAGTCGACGACATGTGAGGTTGGCAATAGGATGAGGGGAGCTTCAACGAGGAGAATCGTGAGCTGAATGAATTATAAAAGGCCTCATCTTCCACCGTCTGGATTGGAATATCCTCTCTCATCATCACACACAGCTTCAACTACAGGATAGTCAGCCGCTTCTTCTCTCATCTCTCAAGTCTTCGGAACACTTCTCTCTCACGCTTCAAACAAACAACTTCTTCAAACCCCTGCCAACCATCAAAATGAAGGCCTCCGTCGTCACCCTCGCTCTCTTCGGCGCTGCTGCCATCGCCAACCCTGTCGCTGTCGAGAAGCGCGAGATCGAGCCCCGTGCCCTCAACCTGGTCCCTGCGCTCACCAATATCCCCGGCGCCGCTGGCCTTGGCCCCCTGGGTAACATCGCCATCATCAGCACTATTCTCAACGCTGCGGATGCCTTCGCTGCCTTTACTACTCTCACCCAAACCATCCTCAACACCATTGCCACCCTTCGTAAGGCGCTTGCCCCCCTTAACATGAACCTCAGCATAAAACTGACATAATTCGCAGGCGCGGGTGTTCCCGGCAACACCCTGCCTCCCGTCACCGCCATTACTGGCGTCACCGGCCTCGTCAACCCTGTCTCCGCCCTTCCTGCGGGCACCAACCTCACTCCTGAACAGATCTTTGCCCTGGCCACCAGCCTTCAGTACCAACTTGGCAACCTGACTCTCCTTACCTCCAACCTGCCCACCGGCAGCCTTCTGGGCGGCGGACTCAGCGCCCCACAGCTCGGCTCTATCCAGAGCGGTCTCGGTGGCCTCAACACCCTCCTCGGACCCGTCCTCAACCCCACCGGTCTCCTGTCCAACCTTGGTAGTAAGTCAATATCCTCTCCCAACTTCACTTGAACCAACCTTAACAATGTCAATCAGACCTCGGTGGTGCCACCGGCGCCGTCTCCAACATTGCACCGCTCCAGGCTCTGCTCGCCGCTATCCCCACCATCCTCGGCGTCGTCACCGGCCTCCTCAGCCTCCTCGGCGGTCTCGGCGGTCTCGTTGGCGGCAGCAGCGGTGGTCTCCTCGGCGGTGGCATCGGCCTCTAAGCTGAGAGCTCCATCACAGCTAGGAACTCAATTGGGGCAGGCCATCTTGCAGTCGACAGCGTCGGCACTTTTGCACACGAAACCCATGAAGAGTTCTTGGCTTGGCTGATGAAGCATCCCTCCCTCCCCTATTCCTTTGGAATCGAGGGCTCCGCTTTCTCAGACTTACACGATCATACCCCAACCTTCCGATAACGCGGCTCTGATTTGACATCAAAAGTTTCCGAAGACTTTCTGAAGATTACTTATTCCTGGAAGCGTTCAGCGGTGTGGATCATTCATCATCTTGGGGACTTTCAACTTTGTTGCGGGCATAATAGCGCGAGTCCCAGTGGCTCCCTTTTCTCGCCTCGCTTATAATCTGGAATCGTCTTTTTTAATCATTTCTTACAACCGAAACTTTCTCTTCTTCTTGTCCCCCTAGACTCAGCTCTAGACAATCAACAAACAGTCAATCCTTGCTATAAAACACTTGCCGTTGTCCTGTGCCTGAATGTGAATGGAAGTTTGCGGCTGATGGATGGTTTTGGCAATGGCAGAAGCTAAACAGTTTCACAAGCCAGGGTGGTCAGATCCGGGAAACTGGGAGATCATATTATCTCTCAAACTCAGCTTTCCAGGTTTCATGGTCCTTCACGTTCCAGACCTGTCTCTTGCCGATCTTTGTGGCTGCGTCTGATCTTGGCAGTGATGGGCGTCATTTGGAATGAATGACGATGGTAAGATGAACGTCGGCGGACGGAGTGGATCCCGATCTCTAGAGCTCCATCATCGGGATCACGTGATTCTCCTTTCCCGATCGACGCAGCCAACCAGCCAGCCACTTACCAAGGGGGCTCCAGATTAAACACTGCAGCGAACACACGACTAAGAGACGATCGCAAACCCGCCCTGCCGCCACCGCGTCTATCTGAGATGCTTAGCTTAGCGGGCACGGCGGGCCCGTCTACATCATCCATCAGACCAGACAATCGACAGTTCATCCTCCTGACGCTGTCGAGGATGCCGGAAGCTTCGATCGAAGCGACCCCTGTATACAACAGTAATATCCTCTTCTACCCTTTGAGCCTAGCTATATCTAATTTATAGAGGTTTACGCTATACTATCAAAATTCTATTTATATTTTAATAGATACTTACTATATATTATAATACTATTTATAATAACTAAAAAAGCTTTAATCTAAGTTTATAAGAATTTTACTAATAACTTTAATAATTTATAAATAACTTATTATAAAAATTATAAAAAAAAGGAATATAAGTATATTCTTTTTTATTTATTAATTATCTCTAGTAGGATTAACTTATTATAGTTAAATTTATTAAAATATTTATTATTAAATTAATAAAATAAAAAATAAAATAGAAAATTAATTTTATTACTTTTATAAGAAAATGTAAATAGAAGCTCTAAAATAATATTAGTAATATAAGTTTTAATATTAAGTTTTTAAATAAATCTAAAAAAAAATTCTGCTACTAAATATTTATTTACTAAATGACTATATATTTTCTTTCTAAATTTAGTAATGTTAAAAGTATTACTATTAATAAATAAAACTAAAAAAAAACTCTATAAAAAACTTAAATATAATAAAACAATAAAAAAAATTAATTTTTTTTAATAAACTAAATAAATTTAAAAAATATAAAAATAAAGTAATTATAACAATTAGTATAACTAATTCTCTTTAATTATTAAAGCTAAGAGAAATAAAGAAAGAAAGGAAAAGAAAAAAAATGAGGAAAGAAAGGGGGTAGTTATAAAGGTAGTCTACGTACTAGTAGAGTTTCTAAAAAGTACATTTTAATACACTATATCACTTCATAGTGATGATAATGATATCCTCTTTGTAGCCGTAGCGTACGATGAAGTCCCCCGATCCCAAGCACACCGCCGTATGGGTCTACTGGGGACAGGGGACCCTTAATGCAGCCTGGCTGTTGGCGGCGTTCAGGCGCCGCGGCGCGCCGGTCGAGGTCCCCGCGTTATCGGCCGGCGCTGCGCCCCCTATCGCTTTCTCTCTTCCGGCGGTGGTGCATGGTCTCCCCACACTTTTGCCCACGTCCGCGGACGATCTTTGCCGAGCGTACCAAGAACGCCAACGATGGATGATCCGTACATACGCAACATACCGTAGTATTTGCCCATCCCGTCCTGGGCCAATCTCCTGCCACACATGTCTCTGCTGCTTACTTTTTGCCCGCAAACCCTTCGTCACAGCTGCCTGTCGTGCCTGTGTCGATGTTGCAGGACGTGCCAATTATCGCCCCAATCGAACAAACCATCACGTGTCCAACTCAAGATTCGCGAGGGTTTTGGCTACAATGCTGCCGGTGTTTCGCCCGCTCGTGTGTTTTTCTAATGTTGCTTGTCCATCCATGCCTGGGACCCCCCTCCCTTGCCTTCAGCTCTCTGGTCTGGCACAGAGAGAGAGGAGAGAAACACTGGGAACATGGCCCCTTTGCTTGAGATCGCCGGCGTTTGACTGGCTCTCCGGCCATCTCGGCCCAGGACGTGATCAGACCACCAACCTGGGTTTGCATGGCCTTCCCGCGCGGGGTAAACCTCGAGAGGAGAAGAAGCGATGACCAGCAGGAGGTACCTGCCAGAGCTTACACGGCAGAGGCCGCCCCAACAAAGTGACAGCATAAGCACCTTCGGGGAGCACGATTTGCAGAGGGGAAAGGGTGTTTTACGTACACAAACATTCAGGGTAGCTTGATTAACCCACCCGATTTTAGGATTCGTCGTAAAAGTATACATACGTACCCCCCCTGGAACTAAGGAAGTGCGGCGGGCGCTACTGGAGACCTCCGTTGATGAAGCGAACGAGTAAACGCCGTCATCGTCTTGACCGGCGCATCGACAAGCTTTCCCGCATCCCTTGTGTCAGAGGGGTGGGCGCTGGCCTCATTGGTGAAGTCATCCGTGGAGAAGGGAGACGAGTCTGGAATACCCTAGACGGGATACCTCTGGGAACTCTGTTCTGGCAGGTCGAGCTAGGTGAGCTTAGGAAGAGCTCAGTTGCTTATATACCCTCTTGCTGCCGCCCTGGCCGTTCAGGAAGAGCAATTCAGCAACACATTCATACAACCTGAACACTACAAGAATTAAAAGAACCACGAACATCAACACCGCCACCATGGACTCCGGAAAGACCAACAACGCGCCCGTCTCCCCTACCACCGGTCGCAGACGCGTACGTGCCTCCTTATCCCGAGTCCTCGAAATGACGTAGCTAATACTCCCACCCCGCACAGAGCTCAGGCACTCTCTTCCAAGGTCTTGTGGAACAGAAGCGTCACGATGGCACCGCTGCACGCAGACAGTCAATGACTGATTCTAAGCCGGCACCTGGATTCATCGGCCAGATGTGGCAGAAGTATGATATCCACAACCTTGTACTGCACAGAACAGGAGGCTGACCTGAATTAGCTGGACCCGTGGCCCGAGCCCCCCGAAATAAGCGATGTCAGTGACCGTCATTTGAGTACAGGAAGAATGCAGGCGTTATGATCCGGTTCTTCGATACTGGGAGTGTATTGGTACAATGGCGTTCGTACGAGATTGTGTTTAAGCATAGCAAGACGCTACCATAATGGATTATTCACCATTGCATAAATTTGTCATCTTTGGTTGTCGTGATGTGTTGCTAGCTTGCAAGCAGAATTAGCGAATGAAGTATGAAAAGAAGTGCTCAAATGCGGAATAGCATTGTCCCTCACCATAGTGCCCAAACCGCAAGGAAAGTGTAACATTGCGCTAGAACTTTAGCCAAGCTCGCACCAATATGTTCAACATGTTTCGGACGGTGTTATAGCGTTGAGAGATAACAACATCAAGTTTGTATTGAACATGTCGGCAGGGAATCATGAGAAGTACAAATTGTTGCACTTCTCCAGTAATTATCACACACCATATTAGGTAGTAAGCTGAAGCATGACGTCCTGCGGGAGGGTATTGTTCTGACCAAGTCGATATGGACGCCAACCATATGCTTTGTTAACGAGCGTGCCCCAAGACTTAGACAACTCATCGGCATGGCGGACTAAGGCATTGGCTATTTGCAGGTAATTCGAATGGATGCAATCTAGTTACCAGTATAGCTCTTGATCAAAAAGGTAAAAGAGTCTTCACGTTGCGAACGCAATGTTTGGGGACAAATGTCAGGCTTGAATTGCGGCTGTACAGGACTATCTTGAAGCATAGAGAATCATGAGGCATCTCTCCCTGCCCAGAAATCCCCCGCCTGCAGCCCCCCTTATCGATTTTTTGCCCACTGTACCAAACCCCGACACTGCGATCAAGCATAGGGTTTTTTGAAACGGTCACAAACATGACCGTGTGTGAGAGACGCGACCAGCCCAAACCCATGAAGCCCCTCGGCTTCCATTCCAAACGTTAGCCCCACGTATTCGGCACCCAAAATTTGAGTGATGGCGTGGTTCGTGGGGCAGATCCTCCTCGGCCTAGTCCGAGATGCTGGCTCCGGAGCAAAGTAGCCTTGCTACGACGGTGCAAAGAAGGCCCTTACTATCGCGCTTATCTCCTTCAGAAAGGATCCCGTCTGGATGGCACGTGGGCAGGACCAACATTAGATTGGATCCTGCCCCCGTCTGTCAATCCACGACAGCGGTTGTGTCACTTGATCTTTTCAACAGCCAACCACGGCAGTTACAGCGGTTTCCGCGTCAATATGTGCTCCGCAACGTCAAAAGACGCGATGCGGTCTCCAGGAAGTTGAACGCAGAGTTACCCAGTTTTGTTAACACAGTAGTTTTCACACAGTAATGATCAGAGATCAGTAGTCAATGATGCCGATCTCAACGAAGATGGCAGATATCACGCCTCGACTCCGAAAATGAGGAGACATCCATATGTGCAGATCTTGTTGTGATCGTTGATCAAGGGGCCATGCAGGGTCGAAGCTCTTCGGCAAAGCCAGAGCAACCATCAATGGTAATGATGAAATGAGTCTGCGGGCCAATGGTGGCCGATCGTTGGAGAACGAGCGTGGCCAAATGTCGAGAGCGGAGGATTGTCGGTAACCAATCGTCCGCACCAGAGACAGTTGGACGGCGGCGAAAGTGCCCGCCCAAAAGTCATGAGGCAAGGCTAGAAAGGGAATCCATCTTTCTAGCCACGAGATGTGACAGGAGCACTCAGAAGGCTCCCGCGTCGAACATCCAGTTGATCCGGCATGGCATGGCGAGGCATGGCATGGCAGACCAAGGCAGTTTTACGTCCTGCCCAGGACAATCCCTTGGAGCCTTTTCAATTCATGCTCAGGAGAATCCATTTGAGCCTTTTCGGGTCATGCCCAGGACCAAAGACACAGCCGAGAAGCTGTTTTTGGTTTTGCTTTTCCGAATCCTGTCCTTGGATATCAATTAGCATGCCTCACTAGCACACAGCAACCCGAGAATGAACGTACTACCCAGCGCCGGAGTCGGCCAAAAAGAAAGACCCGAGAATGCCGAAGTGGAGACAAATGAATCATTATCGTCGCGGTTCATCAGAATTAGGAAAATTTCCCGAGGCTCTAATTGCTGAATGAATGAGATGCAGTCGTTCGTTTTGGTTGCCCAGGCTTGGAGACATCACAAGTCTAGAGATCGTTACTGTTGTGATTGTTAGCATCATCATTTGAGCAGAGAGTCAGCTTGCCTACCACATGTGACTCCGTAGCGAGAATCGTAACCGTAATGCCCATGAAAGATGCTGAATGGGAATCTTGCCGCTCATTGTAGCTTCCTTGCAACACCGTGGGCCTTTTAACGTCCTGCCCAGGACAAGCCCACCGGTAAGAGTCAACTTCGCCGAAGCGGCAAGTCCAGTGTGTTGGGCATTTCTAGGCCCTTCGAAACGAGACTACAGCCTCTGTGATGCTTCGCCCAAGCATTGTTGAATTGTTTCGGGGGATCTTGTGACGAAGGGCTTATCTGATCACGTTGGACTTCGGGGCCAAGCGGCGTTCCGGCTGTGGCTTGTCGCCATAGTCAACTACGGCGGTCTGACTGACCAAACATTGTTAGCTGACGGCTTTTCGTAGCATGTTCGCAAGGGTTGTGTTTGACATACCTTGTAGAGGTTGGGCTGGGAGATCGCTGTCTAGCAGAACATCGTGGTATTCTGCTTTACAGGAAGTACGGCATGGTCTTGTCCCCAGAGACTGTCTCAGTCACCCAGGGAGCCGGTCCAGCATGGCTGGTAGGAGAGGGGTAGTCCTCAATGACACCTCAAGGCCTTGCGCGGCCACGGGTCTTTGAAATATCGTCCTTAGTGGAAGCCAGAGGTAAACCAAAGAAAAACCAAAGGAGAAGAAATTGTGTCAAGAGATCATGTTGAGCGGAAGCATGACGTTAACGACCACGTCGCAGTCACTGCTGGATCACAAGGAGATGGAAGAAGAGGGGAAGGTGAGAAACATGGCGGAGGGGAACGAGCTATTTCAAGCCCAAGGTTGGGCCGAAGTGGTGGAGGACATATCGCAGAACGGTGCCTGATTGCCTGAGGTGTTCTGGACAATGGGTCCGAAGGCGAACCTGAATGTGACGGTGGTCACGTCGTGTGGCCAAGGGTGGGAGAAGAAGAAAAGACAGCCCGCGGGTGGTGAGGGACGTGAGTGGAGTTTAGGATAGGAAGACGTGCGAGGTGGGCTTGCTTACGTACATGGTAAGGCGGCAGACTAAGGTTTAATTGATTGCCTTGGCTGTCTAAGTCGCGTCCTTCCGATAACGCGCACGGTCGCGGCGGTGTGCAAACTGCGCGCAGATTCATAAATGCACTGTGTAAGTACGCGCGTGGCGCCAGAAACTGCTGAACTCAATAATCACTGAAATAGACCACTTTTCCTCTATTGAAGTAAGTTCATGATAGCTCACGCCACGGTTCGGAAGGGCTACGTTTTGTTATATTCGGTGCGCTATTGCATGCCATCTCATTCTTATGCTATTAATCATGCTCTCGCGTGAATCCCGTAGCTAGAGGGTATCACGACTCACGATCAACCTCAACGGTGTCACCAACCCGAATGGTGGGATACGTGGCTGGCCTCAACGTATCCGGGCCGGGGTCATGACCCATGTGCGTGCCGAAGTAGACTTTTCCGTCAAATCTTCGGATCTTCGCCAGAGTCACGAATGGTTCTTCATGCCTCTCACCGCTCTCCTGGTCCACACAAACCATCTGGCATCGCCGGCAGGAACCCATGAGCTTGAACTCGTTCTTTCCTATTGACAGAGTCGTCCAGGTGTCCTCCGCCCATGCTAGATCCTTTGAATCCGAAGCTGGGCCAATGACAACATTGGCACGAAACGCCGCCGACGGTACTGGTTCCCCCCCGCCGGCCTCGATTTCATCATTCAGGGCGCGCAGACTCGCGGTGTTGATAAGGAGGATGGGGCTTTCGTTGGAGAGAAGAATCTTGCCTGATGGCTGCTCAGAGTCCGAATCTGGTGGAGACGGCAACTCTGGGAAGGCTCCTGGGCATACTCTGGCCGCTGTTGTTCTGATTTGTTGATGCTTCTGGGGTTTTGCTTTGGCGTGACGCATAGCGGGACCTTGTCCACCCGCTGGGAATCGTGCTAATACACAAGGAACACCAAGAGCATCGCTGAAGAAACCGTTGATGGCGTCAGAATTGTAGATCTGGGGCGTGATGTTGTCGCCACAGACATGGGAAGATCTTCCACAAGACGAAACTTTTGAGTCGAACTGCGTCGGATCTGCGGAAAGGGGTATCCGAATCTCATCGGGTGCGTGAAAGGCCCTTTTGCCGCTGAAGGAGACGCATAAGTTTCCGCTCTTGAAGTCAAGGGAGGGCTTTATCAAGGCCATCTTCGGATATCGTTTCTGACTGAGAACCTGTCCAGATCCTTGATGAACGAGGCACCATTCTCTGTCCCAAGCTAAGCCCTCGGGCTTCACCTCCCATGCATCGCCCCGAGGTACGGAATAGCCTCCGCAGCTCTTGATAGGGTAAATATTGATGTCCTGTACCTGGATCTTCTTGCCGGGTATGGAGATACCTGGTTCCACGTCGACGAGCATGGCATCTTCTCGATAGAACTCGTGGATGAAGCCAACGAGGAAGTCCACATCGGATATGGTGCTCATAGCGCCAAGGCTTGCGCGAATGATACCTGTCGGCTTTCCAGAAACGATGTCTTCGTCTGTTCCACATCGAAAACCAGCAGAAAAGTTCCTCCGCATCTCCCAGGGTTTCAAGCCAAGGACTGATGCTACACCTCCAGGACTGCAGACACCCCCAGTCCGAACATGCAAGCTTTTCAGCGTTGCCAACTTTTCAAACTCATGGAGGCTAACCCAAGCACCAGCCGAATTGCGGAGGTTGAATGCGATGAGTGGACCCGATCCGTCAGATGCCGCGTCGTACGTGGGACGTTGCGAGTAGACGGTACAGATCGGCGCTCCGTTGCCGTGGGTGAGAGCTGTCAGGCCCTGGTGAAGACGCCGCCTGAGAAACGCCGTGTGTGATGCCACACAAGCCATAGTTCCGAATAGGTCAGCATGTGCATCAAGCGCAGCATCAAGCGCAATAATACTGTGAAATGGTAATGTGCCGTCTTCAAGTCGCTCGTGCAAAAATGTGGTCTTTGGCGAATGCCACCGTTCTCTGCCGCAGATGACCATGTCGACGGTGCCGCCGCCAAAATAACGCCTACTGTCGAACACCGATTCTGCTTGTTTTCTGATGATGAGGGCTCCAAGGTCTGGGAAGCCAAATATCTTGTAAAGACTGAGAACGGTGAAATCTGGTGCGGTTGTTGCGTCACTGAGATCCAGAGGGGAAGTAGAAGCTAATGAGGCGGCATCCAGAAGAGAATAAAGACGGCTGCGGGGTGGTTCAGCCGTCTGTCTAAGAAGTGCTGGCCAGCTTAGGGGGTATCGACAACCGTCCATGTGAGACTGGGCTGTATATGCGAAGAGTACGTCTGATTCAGTTTGGTTGAGTTTAGGAGATGGGACTCGCCCCGATATCCATTCTTGGACTTGAGAGTCATTGACGCACGCGCTATCGCGTGCTTCCTCGCGGACTCCGACTAAGCTGGTATGGCACGCCTCATGATAAGCGAAGAAGAAGCCGTCCGGTGAAGCGCGAAATACATCAGCAACAAGTTTAATACCAGCTGTGGCGTTTGCCACGAAGACCAGGTCGAACTCTGATGGGTCGGCGTTGAAGAATCTCAGGAGTCGTAAACGGACATCTTCAATTCTGGATGTCGTGTGCTGAGAAGGCGACGAAGCTGAATGTGGATTTCCGAATAGATTCGACATCATGTCGGCAGAGAACCTATCCATGAGGGACTTTGAGTAGAGAGTTGTGCCTGCATGGTCAAGATATACAGAGTCTATGAGGGTGGTCAACAACACTGGAGTTGTGTGGACTCAATACCATTGGCGGAGACTACCTTTCAACATGGGGTACTCTCTATCCCGAAACCCCTCCACACGAGGGTTGTATCCTTTCGCCTCGACATCAGCCATGACTGAGTAGAGGATAACAACGGTAAAGGATGCTCTCCAAATGATGCAGTCGCGGATTTCCTTGAACGCGGAGGGATGAACAGCACAGAAAGTGGCTGAGAGTAACGAAAACGCCGGTTGCCCCGTGTGTAAGAAATGCGCCGGATTAGGTGAGACAAAGCGGTAGACCAAGACCGTGAACTCGAGACGAACTACACAAATGAAAGAATATTGCCACGAGTGTCATTGCAGAAAAGAATTGGGAAACACGGCGAAGACGGAGATGTGGTTTTGATAGTATCGTTGGAAGGCGGCCCTGCCCGCCATTCATGCTGGTAGCACCGGGCACCTCCGCTACTGTCTCGTCGCTTGCCACAGCACACTTCGCGGGGGAGCACAGTGGGGCAAAGCACGATAAGGCGAGACGCCGAGCTGACCCAGCACTGTGACCCCTTTGCATGTTGCCTCACCTCAGGGTCATATGCTTTACCTAAGGGGGAGGGTGTGCTGGAAATTTAGCACTATATTTACGCTTAGTTATGAACTAACTATATATAGTAGGTCTACTATTAGTATTAGTATTATATTAAGGTATAGGTATAATACTTAGTAAGTTAATATAAGCTAGTTATTTAAGTAACCTATAAAATAATATCAATTTAATTATTTTGTTATTAACTATATTATAATATTTATTTAAGCTATAATATCCTTATAAAAAGTCTTATTAGTATAAATTATAATTATCTAAGTAATAATTTTAATAGTTCTACTATAATAATACTAATCTTAATATATACTACTTTAGTTATTCTATTTTATAAAATATAATAATTAGAGTTTTTTACAAGAATATAATTATAATAAATATAATTATTTAATCTATTAAGCTAAATAGTTCTCAACTTCTTTATAGCTATTATATTAAAATATATCTAACTAATAAATAGATATAGTTTAATATTAGCTTAAGCTATATTAATAGTATATCTAATAGAGCATTACACTCTTATATTTTTCTAATCTAAAAATATATTTAAATCTATTTTTAGAAACCAAACCTATATTTATTAAATTATGTATATAAAATCTCTATTACTTATAACTACTATAAAATATATAACTACTATAAAATATATAACTATAAGTTTAAAAATATCTTATTACTTTTTATCTAAGTCTCTTCTATTTCTAATCTAACTTTTTTATAATACTCCTACTTCTTTTATTAGCTCTCTTTAGTACATTTTGGTACTAAATATATATAAACTTACTAATAAACTAGAATAATATCTAAATAAACTAAAGAAATATTATACTATAATTAATTAGGAAGATAAATATATAGAGAAGTAATTATATACTAACTTAAAAAGAGCATTTTAGCTTTATTAAGCTTTTTAAAAGTTTTAATATTAGCCATACTTAATAAAATTAAGTTGAAATATTTAGAAAATAATATAATAACTAAATAAAAGATTTATATTAGAGATAATTAGTTATAAAATAAATAAGAAAATTAACAATAAAACATAAAATATTATCAATAGAAATAAAATCTTTAAGCTTTTTAAAAAAAAGCTATTTTTTATAATATCTAACTATTGAGATTAATTTATAAACCTACTAATAAAAACTAATATTAATAAAACTTTTTTAAATAACACTTTTAGATTAACATATTACTAAGAATACTTATTAGAATATAACTAATTAAGTATACTATATAGTTTAATAGAGAGATATTAGAATTTTATATCTATATTTCTCTTTATATTTATAATATATAGAGAGAATATATAAGAGGATTAAAGGTAATAAAAAGCTTTAAACTTAGAATATAAATTATGTTACTTATCTAAAGTTAAAAATAATTATAAATACTAACTTATAGCTTTTAATAGCTTTATGAAATATTATGTATTAGGTAAATAGCTGTATTATATTTATCTAAAATATAATTTGTAATATTTTAGCTTATATTAAAGCTCATAAAAAATTATAACTTATTATTATACTAGAAAAGAAGATATAATTTTTCTATTTAGAAATATTATATATAAGTAGTATAACTATATCTTAATTTTAGTAAGCTAAAGAAGCTTTTTAATATTTATTTACTTATTTTCTTTATAAAAAAACACCTAAAGAGATAAAATATTTTATAAAATTAAATTTCTGTTTTTATAACTAATAAGAAATCTTTATAAAGTTAAATTTCTATTTTTATAATTAATAGGAAGTCTATATTAGTAAAATGTAATATAACATAGGTATTTAGAGTTAAGCTTTAGGTGTTTATAAAAAAGAGTTATTATAATATAATAAAGATTATATTTTTATACAAAGATTTTTTTAGATCTAAATCTATATATTATATATTAAAAGGATAAACTTAAGTACTTTCAATATTGTTTATTATTAATCAAAATCTACTAAGTATAAAGCTAATAGTAATTATTATAGTAGTTTTATACCTTTTATTATGAAGCTTTATAAGCTTTAGCACTTTAAGCTTTCGCTAGGTTATTATTAGCTATTTTAAAAAGAGAGGCTTACTTTTAGCTACTATTTAGTTACTAAAGAATAGGCAAAGATTTCGTTTTTATTTAATATAAACCCTACTTATATTATCTTTTTAATTCTAACTATTTTTCTATAATAATTTTAATTTTTCTTTATAAATCTCCATTAAAATAATAATATAATATATAAATAATTAAGCAGCTATAAATAAGAGATTTGTTTTAGTAATTCTCTATTTATAGATTAGTTTAAAGAGAGACTAAAAACTTTAAACTAAATTTTTAAAAAGTAAACTTTTGTGTATCTAATTCTTTAAATTTAAATAATAAAATAAAAAACTTAAATCTTATATTATAGCTTAGAATTACTAAATTAAAATATTAATTTAAATTAGAGTAATAAGTTAATAAAAGAATAGCTAAAATAATAGGGAAATATTAATCTTTTCATAGTGATTTATCTAAGAATAGTTTTAAATTTAAAATTAAAAATATTGAGATTTTAACTGATAAATATATATTTTACTATTATAATAATTAGATAGCTAATTCTAAATAAGCTTATTTAAGCGTTCTTAAAGAGTTTAAAAAAGATTGGCATAAATTCTTTAATAAATTAGAATATATAGAATCTATATATTATATTTAATAATATTAATATATCTCTAATTTTGTATTAGAATATATTAAAAGAATAATAAATTATTTTAAGTGTTTAGAGTAAATTAAGATTTGTTTTAAAAAATATAATCTTTTAGAAGTTTAAAATTATATAAAACCTAATTAATGTTATATAAAAAGAGAATTAAAATCTTATTAATTTTAATAATTATTTTTCGTTTTTAAAATATAAATTTGTACATTAACTTAAAAAAAATTTTTATATATTAAACTTCTTAAAAAACTTTAAAATAATATATAGAAAACTTCTATAATTCTTTTTATATTTATATTAAAATAATTACTTTAACTACCTAAAAATAATAAGCTATAAAGAAAACCTATAAATATGAAATTAATATTTAAGATTATAATAAATCCTCTATTGAATATTACTATTCTGAAAATAAATCTTAAATTATTTAAAATCTTTTAATTTTATTTTCTTTCTATAGATTAAAAACTAATTTAATCAAAATGATTAACTTTTAAAATGCTATTTTTATAGTAACTTTAATTATTTATATCTAAAATATCTAAAAATAAAGAATAAAAGAATCTAAAAAACAAAATAAAAGGTTTTTTTATTATTTAATTGATTAAAAACCCTTCTATTTCAAAATTGAAAAAACTTAAAGCTATGAAATAGATTTTTATTTTTCTCTTAGATTTAGATTAAAAATGATTTATTATTTTTATTTTTTGATTTAAATAAAAAGATATTAAAAATAATTATATATTCGTCTACATTTAAATATTATTACTAAATATCAATTCAATTTTTTAAAATTTACTAAATTATATAGATTAAATAAATCAAAATAAATATTTCTATTTTAGAAATAGCTAATTATTCATAAATCTTTACTTATAAAATATATTAAATCTTAATTATAATTATTACCCCCTAAAAGCTATTTACTTATTTATATATTTTTATATAGTAACTAATTATAAATTTTAGTTATGAAGAAGTTTAATATCTTTCTTAATAATTATAATTGAAAACTTAAATATCTATTTAAATAATACTAAATACTACTCATAATTTTAAATTTTCTCTTAAAAATACTTTAGAGATTTTACTTTATTAAAAAAAATCAAATTAACTCTAGTTATATATAACTATTACTTTTTTAAAACTAATTTCACTTTTAAATAAAAAGAACTATAAAAACTAAACTTTTTTATTTAGTTATTATTCTTTTAGAATTATTATCTATTACTCATATATTAGAATTATTTAAAATAATTGTTCTTGTTTTAAAAAAGATTTTATAATTATAAAATTAAGATTACAAAAAAAGAACTACTTTAGGTATTTTTCTCTCTCTAAAAAATAAGAAATACTAAAAGCTTATATTAATAAAAAATTAATAAATAGTTATATTTATATGTTTTAAAGTTTCATTAGTTCTTTAGTAATTTTTATTTTTAGAAAAATAAAAACTTATAATTATATATTAATTATTAAGATCTTAATTAAGTTATAATTAAAAACTTTTACTTTTTGTCTTTAATTTTAGAAGTTTTAAATTATATTATAAATATATAATAGTTTTCTAAAATTAATAAAAAAAAACGTGTATTATTGGATCTATACTGTAGAAAAATATAAATAAAAAACTATTTTTTATATTGAATATAAACTATATAAATATTTAGTTATACATTTTAGTTTAACTAATACTTTTATTATTTGTTAAAACTATATTAACTTAATATTTAAAGGGATTATAGATATTGTTTGTATTATTTATTTAGGTAATACTTGTACTTTTTCTAAAGATTAAGAGATTTACATTTAACTTCTTTTAAGTTTTAAACTAAATAAGAGAAGCCTACCTTTATGCTAACTTTTCTAAATATTTATTTTATTAAAAAATATAAATTCTTTAAAGTTTAATTTATTTTTTAAGAGAGTTTTTATAGTTTCTAGCTACATGAAAGCTATTTTTTTTAATAGCTAATCGTAAAGATTTATTATTATATTTAACGTTTTCTAAAATTCTATGACTTTTATTACTAATGTATTTTAAAATATTTCTATATTATGAAACTTTTAATAAAATTACTAAAAAGCAATAAAAATAGTAAACTAAACTTTATAGAATTTAGCTAAATAGAGTTAATTACTTTTTAATTACTCTATTTAGCATTTTAATATATTTTAATTTTATAGCATTTTAATAATAAAAAGCAAATAAAAATAAAAATAGATATGTTATAATTCATAGCTTTTAGTATTTTATTATAGAAATATAAAGATAGCTATTAATATTTTATAGCGTTTTAGTTTGAAAAGTTTAAAAAAACTAAACTAAATTAATATACTTTGGACTAAAAATATATATTATTATAAAGTGTTTTAAGATTTAAGAACACTATATAGAAAAATTAAGGCCTCTAGCTGTTTATAACGATTTTACCTGCTTAAAGCAATAGACCTCCTAACTCTACGCCTCTTAATAATATATACAGCCTTCAGTTATATAATCCTCTCCTAACTTTAGCCACACTTATATATATATATTAACAACCTCATAAATTTTAGCTTCACTTCAGTAATAATATAGTTTATAATTACTTAATTACCATAAACTATTAAACTGTTAACTTATCCTCTCTCTTACGTATTACCTATGCTGCTATTAACATTATCTCTGTCACTGCTTTGCTATCTGCTATCAGTCTTCTTATTCGATTAGGCTGGCTAACACCTTCGCAGCAGCTATACTGTCGTCAGTAACGCTCTCTCTATTTGGTGTAAAGCGCACTCACTAATATTCATTTAAGCTTAAGCTGCCTCTACTTTAGCATTACAGAGGGCTTACGTAAAGAAGAGCTACTCTTTAGGATAGCTAGAAATACGTATAGCCTTTATATAGAGGTGTCTAGAGCTATTATTTATCGCTTTAATTATAGCGTAGAGAGGGTTTCTTCTAAAAATATTTATAAACACTCTAGTTATAACTACCTTAATAATATACTACTAATTAGCAAAAAAAATACTTACTAAATTTAAGAGCTTTATTTATTATATAGATATTATTCTACATAGTAATACCTTTAGCTATTTATTTATAAAAAGGTATACTTTATAAGGGATTAGCGTTCTTATATATCTCTTATAATATAGATATTATAAAGGATTTATTATAAGCTATAAAATAAAAAAGAGGAAGAAGAAGAGAGATAAATATAAAACTTTACGCTAGAGTTTTTATACTTCTAACTATAAAAACCTCTTTTAATAACCTCTTTAGTTAAAACGTTATCTCTTATATAGTAGTATTTATAGCATCTCACTAGAAGGTTTAGTAAAGCTGTTATTAGCTAAGCTATAAAAGCCTTAATAACCTATTTAGCCTTAATATAATTAGCTTTACTATATATAGCGCTATTACTACTAGCTTTATACTATATAGCTAGCGCTATTACTATTCTATTAGTCTATTTAGCTAGAGCGTATATTTAACTTTATATAAGTGTTTACTTATTAATAAGAATGTATAAAGTTTCTATATTATTATTTTTGATTAATAGAGAGTATAAGTTAAAACGCCTACATAGTGTTTCTAGAATTATACCTATATATAAAGTGAATTTTGCTAAATTATTTTTATAGGGGGGCTGTATTATAACTATAAACTTAATAGAAAAATTAAAATATCTTATAGAATTTTTAACTAATTACTAAAACTTAAGCTTTTTTATATCTTAGATTTATATTATAAAAAAATAAGCTTATTAATATATTTATTTAGTATTTTATAACTTTACTATTTATTATTATTAAAATAAAAATAACTTTATTAATAAGCTTTTTAAATATTTTAATTATTATAATAAAAGAGTTTTAATCCTAACTTTTTATTAAATATTTCTAAAAAGGTTAAACTACTATAGAAATCCTAAATAAATTAAACTAAAATAATAAAGGTTTAAAATATCTAAGTAATAACTTAAGCTAAAGCTTAATATGTTATAAAAACTAAATAAACTTATAACTTAAAAATAACTCTAAATTTAAAAACATCTATTAAAAAGATATAATCTACAGATTTCTAATACTAAAAATGATATTTCTAAATTAATAAAGAATATATACTAAAATACTAAACTTTTAAAACTAATCTTTTTAAATATAAAAATTAAGTTTTTATTTCTAATAAAATATTAATTTAAATTAATATATATATATATAATTATAAAGTTAAAATTAAACTAATTAGTATAGCTTATTAAATTTACTTAAAATTATAAAGTATATAGTAATGCATTTTATAAGAATAATAAGTTATATAATAGTAAAAAAGAAATAATTAAGTTCATAATATTTAAGAGAGAAGTTTAATAAAATATCTTGATAAATATAATATAATTAGTAATAAATCTTAAATAAAAAAAGCCTTCATAGTTTAATATAAATAAAACTAAAAAAAATCACTATAAACTAAGCTAACCATCTTATTATCTCTTAGCTAGATTATAATATTATAAATAAATTATTACTAAAATAGATATTTACTTTAGTATTACATAGTATTATATAGAATTATCTTTTAGAAAGCTTTTTATTATATATATTAGATATGATAAAATATTGTTACTAATTAATTATTATAAAATTATTAACTACTATAGCTTAATAGTTATTATAATATGAAATATTTACTATAGAGGTAGCTATAGATATTATAATCCTATTTTATAAAAATTTCACGATAGTACTAAATAATATATATAATTAGAGTAACTATATATAATAATAGAGTAAATAGTTACTTATAAGAATATTTAATCAATAATATTTATTGTTATTAATATAATAAACTAAAAATAATATATTATAAATTAATATCTTTACTATAATGTATCTATATAATATATTTATTTTAAATATTAATGTATCTTATTATACTACTTATTTAATTAGTATAACTTTATAAAAATAAAATAGTAGTATATAGTATTATAATATAGGTAAATATATATTATATAGAAATATATAATTAGGTTCTATATTTAAGAGGCGTTATATTAACATTTAATTAAGAGCGTTTACTGTGTGCGCAGGGACTATAAGGTGTGTATTATGTGCCACCCCCCCCCCCCCCCTCCTGGGTAGGTAGGTAAGCGGATGAACCCGAGCACAGACCCGCCAGTGGAAAGAGGGTCCAAGTCCCGTCACCCGCGTACGCACGGTCCATGTTGCGCGGTCAGCCGCACCAGCCACAGCAACCCATCCGTACCTGCTCAGGAGCGCGTTTTCTCGCGAAATCAATTTACGCGACTCCAGGAGCTGGCGCGTTTCCCGGTCATCGTCGTGGCCCGCGCCTACCACCCTATTTCTTCAGTTCCACTCGCAACCGCAAATCCACTCCTTCCAATCTCTCAACTTCTCCTTCCTTATGCTCGCCAAAGCTTCGACTGAACTTTCCCCAATTGTCTTTGATTTGCGAATTGTCAGTTGCGATTGCCTCTTTACTTTACTTTAATACATTACCGCAATGTCTCGCGCCTCACTCCTCGGCAAGCGGACTAGGACCGTCCAGGACCAAGGTAAGCTCGACCGAAACTTGTCAACGGTCCAAACTTTGTTGCTGACTGCCTTGCCAGATGAAGTCCAGCTTCCTGCGAAGCGAACCAGAAGACAGACTCGAGCCGCACAAGAGAATGACGAGAACGCAGACCCCGATGCGAATGCCACGTCCGAAAGCGATTCCCAGGTCGACGATGTTTATGCTGAACCCTCTCCGAAGAAGCTCAAGCGTTCCCGCTCCCAAACTCTGGCTAAGGCGATCCCTGTCACGCCTCAGACTCCCCGGCACCGAGATGTCTTCGCCAATTCCCCTTCAACCCCGCGAATGGCTGTCAAGTCCGCCGGCAAGCTATTCCAGAGAATGACGCCGCAATCTCCTCTCACCCCCGGCTCTCTTCAAACCGTCTACCACTCTGCACGACAACTCTTCGCCCGCGGTGCTGATCCCGGTCAGCTTGTGGGACGAGAGCAAGAGCGCGAGCAGCTCTCTCAGTTTATTCAACAATGCTCATCTACGAACCCCAGCGGATGCCTCTACGTCAGCGGACCCCCTGGAACCGGAAAGAGTGCAATGGTGAAGGAAGTCACAGAGCACTTGACCGAGTCAACAGCTGTGCGTCAAGCAACGATCAACTGCATGAGCATCCGGTCATCCAAGGATCTCTACAACACCCTGCTTGACCTCTTGGGGCATGACAGCGACCTCTCAGAAGCATCGGCAATGGAGGCGTTGCAAAAGATCTTTGTGACGAAGAAGAAGGATTCGCCAGTCTACCTCGTTGTCTTGGACGAGATTGACCACATCTTGACCATGGGTCTGGAGAGCCTGTACCGCTTGTTCGAGTGGTCCTTGCAGCAGCCATCTCGACTCGTTCTCATCGGCATCGCAAACGCCCTCGACCTCACGGACCGATTTCTGCCACGCCTCAAGTCGAAGAACCTCAAGCCGTCTCTGCTCCCTTTTCACCCCTACTCAGCGGCCCAGACAGATCAAGAGCATTATCACCACGCGCTTAATGTCGCTGCTCCCAAAAGACAGCAAGCAAACAACGACTCCTTTCATTCACCCTGCAGCTATTGAGCTTTGCTCAAGAAAGGTGTCAGCTCAGACGGGAGATCTGCGGAAAGCCTTCGAGATTTGCAGGCGCGCACTTGACTTGATCGAGTCAGAGACAAAACAACAACACGAAAACGAAGCAAGAGAGAAGGTTTTGCAGATGACACCTTCTCGGAAGCCTCTTGGCGAAAACGCCAACATGGCTGCAACTGGCGGCTCCAGAAGCGTATCTCACGTTGCTGCGGCGTCTCTGAAGGCCCTGACAGCAGAGACGGCACCTCGAGCTGCTATTGGACATCTGAACAAGGTGACGGCAGCAGCTTTCAGCAACGGCACCAACCAGAGACTGAAGGCGCTCAACCTTCAGCAGAAGGCCGCGCTGTGCTCATTGGTCGCCCTGGAGAAGCGTAACCGATCGGCGAAGATGGCAAACGGCTTGGCAACTCCGACTAAGTCGCAGTCACTCGCCCCCACAGTCAAAAGCTTGTGTGAGACTTACACAATTCTTTGCACCCGAGACTCTGTCCTTCACCCGCTGTCAAGCTCAGAGTTTCGCGAAGTCATCGGAAGTTTGGAGACGTTGGGCCTGATCAACCAGGTTGATGGAAAGACAGGGGGCCTTGTAGCAATCCAGACGCCAAGCAAAAGAGGGCGTAAAGCGGCGATGCCAACCGGCGAAGACAAGCGGGTGGCTAGCTGCGTTGGAGAGAAGGAGATGGAGAGCATCGCCGAGGGCGTTGGTGCAGCCATCTTGACCCGAATTCTCAGTGGCGAGGCGTTGTATTAATTCTTGTATTAGGGCATACCACATGGAGTTCTTTGGGAGATTTTTTTCTGCATGGCAATAGGGTCTGGAAAAGCATGGCACGTGGCGTTTAAGGGATATAACGCAGATCGATAGACATGATCAGCGTAGCATTGGACGTCAGCAATTGTCTGAATATCAACGGGATAGATGGTTGGAGGGCGTGATGTAAGATGAAGAGAAGTGTGGAGGACGGACATCAGTATGGTAGATGCTCGCGTGTCAGCACGCAGATGGTATGAGAAAGGCATTAGAACGAGACATTAATAGCATGATACCAGACGGTTAAAACGAAACAAGGCTTGTGGAGAGCAGAGCAGACAAATGGTGCCCGAGTCGCAAAAGATGCAGCAGACGCTCAGATGTGAAGTGCAGTGAGACGATGAGGCGAAACGGAGGAGCTGCGGGCGGACGCACCGGCGTCAGCTCGGGATTTGGTCAGCCCATGAGCCCATGTGGAATAGAATGCCTGATGTTCTTGGGCCGGAGAATTGAACTGTCTGGTGTTTCTCCCGCAGGCCTGCGGCAGGCACACAAAGTCAAGTTGGAGACAGGCTCCAGGTTCACAGTTGCAACCAGATCGGGTGCGATCCGCTGCCGCCACAACAGTGTAACAAGACAAGACTTTCACAATGTGCATCTCCCTTCCCTCATCACTACCTTATCTTGCCTGCGGTCTTGGCTTGGCACACCTTACCGCCGTTAAGGTCAACGGGGGTACCCACGCAGGGCGTTGCTCAAACCATCTTGTCCTTTCCCTTGCCTCCATATTCTGACTGTTGCATACTGAGTACATTTTCCCAACTTGCGTTTCCCGTTGAAGAAGAGACGCACACGGTCCAGTATGACAACGCGGATGGAGAGGTATTTTACTTCTGTCTGAAGCGGCCGATGGACTGTGTAACCTTGCCAGGCAAAAAAGGTACTGCACACTGGACAGAGCATCGAGCGAGGTACCCACTCCTATTTTTAAGTCTCGATGTTAGTGGCCAGAATTGAGTCCGAAATGCCTGCTTCATGCTCAGAGTTGCCTCAAAGAGGAAGCAACTAGCAACGCACTCTGCCCAAGTTGATCGTACTATTGAATGGTTGATTGGTTAATCGTTGTCTCGATTGTGTGGTTATCCCGTTGGATAGACGGACGTCGGCATGGAATGCAACGCCGGGCAGGCTCCAGAAGCACATGTTTTGTAAGCACACGGCGCTGGCAAGCTGGACTGGACTGGATCGGATTGGATGCAACAGGACGGGCACTGGGCACTTTGCACAGGGGCAGCTCAGACGGCAAGGCTCCGGACAGGCCCCAACAGCGGGAGTGGCATGTCTTGGGTTCAAATGGAAGTGTTTCCCTTGTTCCGGGAGGGTATGTCGAGGTACCCGACGACGACCCGAATCCAGTGCCGTCCCGTCGCCCTGAGGCCGTGAGGTGCCTTAGTCAGGCGTTAGCAGCCCCAATGACGAGGCGAGCAAGACAACCTGAAGACAAGGACTGGTCCCTACAATTGGGGCTGAGCTGAACCATCCGGGGGTACGTATTCCCACGGTGCGCCGGTCGTGGTGTTTCTGCTTTCTTCCGTTCTTTCACAAACCACACACACCAACGCTTCATTCAGACACACATCGCCAGTCGGCTGGCCCCCGCCCTCCTGGTGCCGTCCTTCCGCATCAAAAATGGGGCTCTTTCGGTGTTAGTGCAACCGACTGCGAAGTTGTTGGTCGATACCAGCCGGGCCTCCACTTTCACATTGCACATTGTCGCTGACACAGGCGCCTCACACTTTTTGCGCGGTTCCTCGGCCTCGTCACCTCGTCTCGTCACCCGTAGCAGCCATCCACTTGCCTACCTAGCGTCTGTACGGATATGCTCCCCGCCCCCTCCTCATCCACGGTAGCAGCAGCAACCCCTTGGGTATTGGTTGGTTGGCTGGGTGGATGGACTGATACAACTGATACCTGCCTGACGGCCCTTTCTCATTCCAATACCTACCTTACCCATCCGTACCTTACCATACAAGTAGTTTTCAGGCGCGTACATTGGGTATGAGACTGCGAGGTGCTAACAAAGAGGTCCGCGCAACAACCAAACGTCGAGCAATATACATCCGGCGCACCATCCGTAGAGCAATACGTACAACACACTACGTGGCCCTGGCCCTGGCCCTGACACCCCCCTCTTCGTCCTAAATTGCCCATTGTCCATCCGCCCCCCGTTCCCGTGCCTCAGGCTTGTTCTTCTCCTGATCCCCGGCACCCACGGGCAATCTGAGACTGTGAACCCTCGAGATTTCCAGAAAAAGCGAAGCTTTCTTGGCAAGGCTCCCTCTTCGTTCTTGGCATATGCAACCAAGAAATCCGCTGCCAGCATCTCTCAAAGATCCCAGCCTGGCATTCCATCATCAAATCAATTCCCCTCCCAAGCTCTAGCAGTCGCCCACCAGTCGGACAGCACGCGGACAGTCCCATCGCGCAAACGAGCGAGCACAGGTCCCTGACGATTCGTCCCGACATACCGAGACCTCGTGGACCCGGTCGAGCCGCTTGTTCGCTGTCGAGCACCGCAACGCACCGCACCGCACCAGACCAGCTGCTGCTGCTGCTGCTGCTGCTGCTGCTTGCTGCTGTTGTGCGCCCCAAGACCACTGCTGAGCTCCTCCGTAAGCCTGGCTCGCGCTCACTCATCACTGCTCGCTCGTCTCGCCGCGCTCCTCCCCTTTCGCCTCCCCGCGCCCACGGCCACAGCCTACACGGCTACGCAATCCTACTGCTGCGAGCCACGAAGGCGCTGCTCTGCGAATCCCCTCGTTGCATGTCGACGTCGAGGGTGCAACCGTCGTCGCCTCTGCTGCGCCCCCTCCCCCGTCTCCATCTCCATCTCCGTCCTTCGCCCGCCTCCCGACTCCGCCTTCTCCTCCACGTCCTTGCCGTCCTCCTCCACAACCACCGCTGCCGACATCACCACAACCACCGCAATCCCCATCACCACCTCCGACCCCGACCGATCCACGACACCGCCAAAGGCCCGGCCCGCAAGTCGCTGCATACATGGGCGCATACTCGCATTCCAACGGCTCCGTCGAAGAAACAACCTCGTCCACACGCTCGTTTTTTTCTCGCTTCGCCCTGCCGATCCGCTCGCGTACGCGTAACCTCGCCGACTTCCACGTCCGCCCCGACGACCCCCACCGCCAGTACTCGGCTGGCGAACATGTTCGCGGCGCCGTAGTCTTGACCGTAGTCAAGCCGGTGCGCATCACACATCTCACCGTCACCCTACATGGCTACGTCCGCGTCCACAAGGGGCCTGCCGTCAGCGAGCCTCCTGTCGCGAATCCCGCCCTGTCCGGTCGGTCGTCGGCACAATACCACGGAAATGGTCACGCTTCGCTCTTCCAGGACGAGCAGGTGCTCAGCGGCGAGGGGAGGTTGGAGGCTTCGAAATACGAGTTCAATTTTGATTTAGTGTTCCCCGAAAAGGGTTTGCCTAGCAGCATTGATGTATGGACTCCGCTCTGGCTTGATTTCTTGAATCGCAGTGCTGACGCGCCTGGCTACAGTTTGAACGAGGCACGATTTCCTACATGATTACAGCGACTTTGACGCGTCCGACTTCAATATCACCGACGACATCATGCGACCGAAAGATTCAATTGGTGGAGAAGGTGGATATTGGGCCTCTCGCGCCTCCGCGTCCCCGGACGATTTACCTCGAACCGATTTCCAAAAAGTCAAAAAGAAAAAGGACAGGCGGTGGAGAGAAAGCTTCGCTCGCTGTAGAGAGCGTTGATCATGGATCGGACATGGAACAGCGCGAAGCAGTGACACCTGATCCCGCAGCGTCAAACGACGAATCTACACACGATCCACTCGAGCAACCGCGCAGTCCAACTCACACAGATATCCAGAGCGAAGTCAGCGGGGACAGCACCATAAGTTCCAGTACAGGCATCAGCTTAACGCGAGCCGAACCCCGCTTAGGCGGCTCTCTGACAAACTCCAAGATGCAAGCCGTTGACGAAAAAACAATAACGGCTACAATTGAGATGCTCAAGGGCGGCGCATTACCTGGAGACACCGTTTCCGTCAAGGTTTCTGTCCAGCACATCAAGCGGATAAAGAGTATGCACGGTGTTATTGTCACCATGTACCGCCAAGGCAGGATCGATACAGCGCCGCCGGCATCAATGTTCGCGGACATCATGACAAAAGAAGAGACCAAAAAACTTGCGAAGGAAGACTACTACCCACGGTCACGCACTGGTCTCGGCGGTCTGTCTCTGAGCTCTACGTCGTCACTGAGCGTTTTTAGGAAGGATCTCTCCCAATCGGTTGCTCCTTTGATTATTGATCCGGTAACACTGGAGACAACAGTAACAGCATCCGTCAAGGTGCCTGAAGACGTTTTTCCGACGATCAAAGGTGTACCGGGGGAGATGGTCAGCTTCAAGTACCAAGTCGAGGTTCTGGTCGATCTGGGTGGCAGGCTGGCGAGTCAGCTTCAGGGCGGCGGTCAACCGAGAGTGGGACAGTTTGCTCCCGCATCCGCTGCTGCAGAAGGCAACAATGCAGTTGTCAATTCTTGGGGTGGAAACGTCATAGACACGGATCGGTTACGGCGCGAAAAGGGCGTGATATCCGTCGTTTTTGAGGTCATTCTGGGAACAACGGACAGCTCGAGGTTGCGAGGCCGGAGTAATACGGTGCGGACGTACCAGATGCATGATGGGGCGGCCAGCGGAGAGGACGTCTCGAGCCCTTGGCCGGTTGACGATATCCATGCCGACGACGGCGAGAGTTATTGGCCACTGGCCACACCTCAGAATCCCGGTACCCTAAGCAGGCAACCCACCATCACGATCCAGCCTACGAGTCCGCCTGAGGAGATGCAAGCGCCCGCCTATATCCCCCCACCGCAGGTACCAGACGAAGCGCGCTTGACAGACAAGGAACGTGCAAGACGTCAAGAAGAGAGACTGTTGCCCAGT